GCGACGCTCCACCGAGGTCACGATGACCTCCCGGCCTCCCTCCTCCTCGGAGGAGATCACGTTGTCACCCATCTCCGTGGGGTCCTCTGACTCGAGCTCTACCTCGACTCGCTCCTATTCTCCCCGGCCCACACGTGCCGGGTGATATCCTCCTCCTTCTGGTGCCTCCTCCGAGCCTTCTCAGCTCTCTTCTTCTTCTAGTGTTCGTCGCCTCCTTCAGGGCCACTTGCCGAGCCACGCCCTCTGGCTCCTTCGGGAGGTGTGGCTGGGGATTTATAACTGGTAAGTCCCTACAAAGCGGAGGACTTGAAGTCAAACTATAGGAGAGCGAGATCGAAAGAGACACAGAATAAGGAGAGGAGGACATACCAGATTGGGCAGCTTCCCGGCATAGAGAGGTCTAGGCTTTCCTTCGATGGTCTCCTAGGCCTTCAGTTGCAGCACCCGGTCGAGATGGCTCTAGACTTCGTCCTTCGCTAGCTCCACCGACGACGCGTGGTCGGGGTCTGTCGGCCAAAGTACAGCCACATCGGACGCGTCCCTTTCGCTGTGGGGCAACCTGACGGTGGAAGAAGGTGTGGAACACCCACACCCTGTCGAGGCCATGCTGCAACAGCTTCTAGAGCTTTGCCCCGATGATCTCCAGCTTGTTCTGCTAGCTGGATGGGCCCCACGACCAACTCTGCCGCCTCTCTGGTCTCCTTCTAGTGAACAACGAGAACGGCGCCTCCACCGGGTTCCTAATGTAGAACCATTCCCCATGCCACCCCCGATTGGAGTCTCAGGGGGTGTATGCAGGGTAGGAGCCCGATGCACTAGGCTTCTTCTACAGGGCGAAGCCCCTCTACCGGTGCGGTCCTGGCTGGCTTCCCCTCCAACAAAGCTTGCCTGGTGAAGATTCATCGGAAGAAGTCCACGTGTGGCTCCATCCCGAGGAAGGCCTCGCACACGGTGACAAATCTAGAAACATGCAGCACCCCAGTCGGATTGAGGTGCTGCTGCTCCAGACCCCACTCATTGAGGAGGCCACGCAGGAACCAGTGCACGGGGTATCCTAACCTATGCTCATGAAAGGCGAGGAAGGAGATGACCTCGCTGGCCTGAGGTCACGGGAAATACTCCCCCATAGGAGCCCTCCAGTGCACCACCTCCTTCGGTGGAAGCAGCCCCTTCCTGGTGAAGGCGGCCAGCATCGACTCATCCATAGTGGATGGCCTCCAGCTTGACATTGTGCTCCAGATTCACGAAATAGATCTGTGAGTTCTCCTCTCCCCCGTCCTACCCTCTCTCACTTAGGAACCGTCGCGGCATGAACGCTCTCAGCAAGAAGGAAGGAGGAGAGGCGGCGGTTGGGGAATAGGCAAAGGAACGGAATGAAAGCCCTCTCCCTTCCCCTATTTAAAGAGGAGACACAACAGTTGGGGAAAGGCGAAGGATTGGGGCAAAAAACCCTCTCCCTTCTCCAATTCAATGCGGATGGGATGCGATGGGACACGTCCTGACCGATGGGATGCGCCCCACCCGACGAGACGGTGCCTGGTTAGATAGGACGTGGCCTAGGCATGGTCCACCGCTACCACATGCTGGGCGTGGGAAACAAGGCGCAACTATGCCCAGGCGGCTCCCCACCTTCCCAAGCAAGACTTGGAAGGGCCCAACATCAGGATCTCCGCCAAAGACAGACCAACGGGCTTCCTGAGTCGATCGAACGGCTCAGGCAAACACCGAGGGATAGGTAAGGAGCAGAGGGACGCCCATGTGGGCCACGACCGACTCTATCACGAATGATGAGCGTGGATCCCATTCAGACATATCCGATAAAAACTCCTCAAACCTGTCACTCGGGTCATCAAGCTAACTCTACCAATCCCTCTTACTTTATTTTTCTGATGCATTGTCATTCATTCATCCATTCTCATACACGCATTCACGCATTCATTCATACAACCATTCATTCATCCCATATATCCAAAGCATCGCATATGCAGCTAATGCATCACAAGGCTTCGTGTTGCGTCATGAAACGGTAGTTGCCTCATTCAACATGAGCAACGACCGACTGGGGTTCGAAGGCCAATCCGCGAAGGGCTCGAGGCCGCCTCATGTCAAATAGAGCCAGGGGAAAACGCAGATGAGCCCTAGCGGCCCTCGCCCAGTCTGTTCTGAAGCAGACAAGGTCATCTCAACCTTGTCGTTCAGTCCTAACCTCGAGCCATGCCCACAGAATCTCCATCGAGGGAGGCCAGCGGGCCACCTGGGTTGGTCTCCGGAATGACCTGGGCATCTACCGGGATGTGGGTTAAGGAGCAGTGGAATGCCACATGAGGGCTATGCCGACCCCGTCACGAACGACGGACCCGGATTCCACTCGAACATGCCCGTTAGCGAGCTCACCGAGTGCGTCGCTCGAGCCATCGAGGCAAGCAATGTTAGCTCAGCCCCTCCGGTTTACGGAGATCGTGGATGGGGTAACGCACGGAACTAGACCTACCCCTGCCAAAACCCAACGGGGCTCGGGGGCTCAGGTTGCCCGACACCGACTCGGGAAATCAACCGACCGCGCAGGTCACGGGCAGGGCAAACATGGGTGAATACCCCGAACAGCAGTCTGCGGCCCCAGGAAAAAAAGTACCAAGTTGCTCAGCCTCCAACCGACTCACTAGTCGGACGCAGGCGCGGGGCTACACCCGCGGGTGCGCTCGCGCGCACCCGCTGTCAAAACAAAGAATTCCCCCGCTGCTAAGACGAAAAAACCCTACAGACGATTCTACCTGAATCGCCCGGGGGCTACACCCGCCGTCAAGACAAAAATTCCCTAGATGATTCTACCTGAATCACCTGGGGGCTCGAGGGCTCCTATTGGGTTCATAAACCCGGGGTCCCTCATGGACCTACTTCCCAGCAAAAGCTCGACTCAGCGGACGACGTTGCGAACGACGCGCGTAACTCCTGGGCCGGCCTAAAAACCTAACGATAGTCCAGAAGGGTGATCCAGTCTCCGACCGGAAGGCCTGGCCAAAGAGAGGACGACGCTCACTTCCCGACTCCGGACCACCTCTCCGACCGGAAGGACCAGCCAAGGAGGAACCGCGCTCACGTCGACTCTGGCCCGCCTCTTCGACCGGAAGGCCTGGCTAAGGAGGAACGGCGCTCGCTTCCGACTCCGGCCCTCCTCTCCAACTAAAAGGCCTGGCCAAAAGAGGACCAGCGCTCACCATCGACTCTGACCAGAAGGCCCGGCCAAGGAGGAACCGCACTCGCTTCCGACTCTGGTCCGCCTCTCCGACCGAAAGGCCCAGCCAATGAGGAACCACGCTCGCTTCCGACTCCGGCCCGCCTCTCCGACTAGAAGGCCTGGCCAAAAGAGGACTGACGCTTGCCTTCGACTCCGACCCGCCTCTCCGACCGGAAGCCCTGGCCGAGAAGGGACGACGCTCGCCTCCGACTCCGACTCGCTTCTCCGACAGGGAGTACATCGAACCTCTGCTTATAGCTCTTCTTCGACCGGGAGGCCGGAGCTGACTGGAAAACGACCGACCGGGGACGCCCGCTCGGTGAAGACCCAGGAAAAGGACAGAGCAAGTAAGGCTGGGCGCTCCAGTCAACCGCAATACCAACGGCCGTACCCTGCACACCTGCGGGACAATACTGTTAGGCCGTGTCAGGAGGATGCACCGCAACCTTTCAGACATGTCAGAACATGAACAATGTTGTGGGCATCGATATTTATCCTACAATATGGTAGACGCCGACATCTGCCATACCAGAAGAAGACGATGGAACCTACCACATGCATCTGAACATCAACAATGTTATTGGTGTCGACAAACCGCCTTGTACCCGACGGCGTGGGCAATAAGACTAGGCGACACACACACATTCTTTTTCTCACTCTCTCTTGTAAAGCCGTCCCCTTCATCTATAAAAGGGGATGCGCTCTCTCCAAAAGCGAGGGATCGATTAACAAACGATTAACGTACGATTCGAACGATTCCAACAGAGCACACGCTTAAATACTTAGCGCACGTAGGAGCCCCCGTCTCTCTCGGCCCTTTGGTACAGAGTCCGACCGGACCTCTTGCACCCCCCATCTTACTCCCTCTCGTTTGTAACCCCACAGCAAACTTCGAGCACCTGGGTTCAGGAATAAAGTCATCGATCGACTCAAACTGGACGTAGGGCACGTTGCCTGAACTAGTATAAACCCCACGTCATTGAGTGCTAGGCCACATCCGATCACAACGTACGACAAAACTATAAATATTTACGTGTTGGTCACTTTTCGCACCGACACAACTCGTCTACTTCACCCAACCTAAAAGACCAAGTATCAACATAGTCTGATTTACCTTGTGGCACCACGCATAATCAGTGACGACATATATTAGATAAAAATGTTTCCAAAACCACCCTAGTAACAAACACGAATTGTTTTAAAGGCTAGACAAGGTAAAAAATTCTAGTTTTTCGATTAGGGGGTAAATCAAACTTCAGCGAAAATTGAGGGAAGTAAAATAAGGAGATGTTTGGCATGCCTCTAGTTAAGGAGCTCCTCCAGAGAGTCATAATTTGTGGCTTTTCTGAAATGGTTCCGACTTCCCTGCTTTTTTTAATAAAAAAAACGGCTCCCTGAGAAAAACGTTCGGTAGGATTCTGCCAAATAGGCCATAATTTTTTTCTCTATTATTGGCCAAAAGATCCCCTTTGCTACCTAGGCCGATGGCCCATCCGACGGTCCAGATGCGCTCACTCGCCTCACCCCCGATTCGAATTTCAAAAATCATGGAACGCGCACGAGCCAGGGCGGAACAAAAAGGAAAGACGTTGGACACTTGGGCGAAAGCAGAGCGAGCAGCCGACCGTTGCTGCGGGCGGCTACCCTACCCCACCTGCCAGTCACACGACCCCACGCGCGCACGCCGCTTGACTTTACTCGACCGGTGGGGAGCGCAGAGCACCTCACTCGCGTCGCGTCCACCCCACAGATCTCACCGCCAAAGATGGCCCGCTGCGGCGACAGAGACATCGTGACGGCGGCGATGGCGCGGCAGCCCTGGCGCCGCCGCCACGGATGGCAGCTCCCCCTACACCCGCTTCAGGTTTGCGTGCCAATCCCATCCGGATAGTTCCTCTCTCCTTGCGATATGCTGTCCTCACTCCTCAGATCAGCTCATGTCGCCTGTCTTTCTCGTCGCGTGTGCGCAGCTCGTGGCCGCGGCAGTGTTCGCGCTTCTCGTCGCCGCGTTCTACGTCGTCCTGGGGCCCTACATCGGCAACACCCTCGCCGGCAATATCCTCCTCGCTACTTTCTCCTTCTCGGTTCGCACATCTATCTCAGCATTGACGGAATCATCACAATTTTTTTTTTTTTGCGCCGGTCTGGTCGTCTTTCGGATGCTGAATCGGTGATCTGTTCCGCTCCAAACAGGCGGCGGCGGCGGCGGCGCTCTACGTGCGCTGCACGGCGGTGGACCCGTCCGACCGGACTGACGCGAAGAAGACCAAGCGGCGGCGGCAGCTCGCGCGGGGGGTCGGGGCCACGGCGAAGCTGCCGCGGCTGCGGTATGGCTACATTTTGTGGCGCTACGCGGTGCGGTTGCTGCGGCGGGTTGAGGCGCGGGTCACCAACCGCTGGGTGCGGCGGAGCTACCTTGAGCAGTGGAACACCAGCGTTCAGCTCGATCCCATGCTCCCCTTCGCCTTCACCAGCCTCGATGACATCGTCTCGCCATGCGCCACCGCCGATGGGCACGAAATCTCCTTTTGCCCCATCTGCGACTGCGAGGTATTTGTTTCATTCTTCCCTCTGCGCATCGGTGATGATATGGCTCTGCTCGTTTCAGAGGATAAACACAGCAGCAAATGACACAAGTTCGATGTGGATGGATTAGTTTCGAACTTCGAAATTTCGAATATGTCAAATGAATTGAATGCTGACATTGTCTGTGAAACTCCATACCTTGGATTTACTATGAGTGAAATGATATTTGCATGGGAATTCTAAATGCTTGTACTTCTGTTACTATGCCAAAACGAACTGAATGTCTGAATCCATGGGATGTTTGTCAAATTCTGTTTTTGTTTTTGGGAATTTGCAACAATTCCCCAACAATCTAAACAGGAATTGAATTGTTCTACAGGTGAAGTTGCGTAGCAAGCACTGCAAGACCTGTGAGCGTTGCGTTGATGGATTTGATCACCACTGCAGGGTAACCACCAAAACTTACATATTAACTAAACTCCCAACTCCCTGCTTGTTGTATTATCTTAAACACAGTCCTCCAAATGCCAAGTGAATTAATCTTTTATGCTTTGTTTTGTACAGTGGCTAAACAATTGCATTGGAAGAAGGAACTATGCAACATTTATTCTGCTTATGTTCTTTGTCCTGCTGATGGTGGGCGCTAACGTTTTTGCCATCATTTTCGTTTCTCATCTCTTGAATTTGACTGGTACTAATTAGCTTATGATGACACACAACTTTACCAGCTTGTCGTTGAGGGAGGAACAGCAATTGCGATCTTCATCCGCTGCTTTGTTGACAGCAAAGGGGTGAAAATGGAAATGGAGCACAGGCTGCACATGAGGCTCCCAAAAGGAGCTCATGCAGCACTATCAGTAAGTACATGAGGCATACACATGGAATTAAACACGACTTCTGTATTTACTTAGTTCTTGACTCAAATTTTATCTCCAATTTTTGCCACAGATGGCTTTTGTCATCTTCACATTGTACAGCACTGCAGCGCTGGGCCAGCTCTTCTTTTTCCACATGGTGCTCATTAGAAAGGTGGGGTATTCATTGCTGGTATAACTTTCAGCAATTGGCTCATATGATAATATCCACCTGAATAATAGTTTAGTACTGTGATTCATGTTTAGTGTTAAGTATCTTTTGCTTATGAAATAGAGCAATTTTCTTCTAAGAAATAAAATGGTCGGTAATTACTTTCTCAATCACTACAGGGCATGAGGACCTACGACTACATTCTTGCGATGAGGGAAGCAGGAGCAGCATTTGACCCATTCGAAGACTCTGACTCTGACGAGAGCATCGACTTTGACTCACCAGAGAAGCCATCTTTCTTTTCAAGGGTCTTTTGCAGAAAAGATGAAGTAAATGAAGTAAGCAGCTTTTTTTTTTTGAAAGACCGAAGTAAGCAGCTATTAATTGCAGTAGTACTGCTGCTGCTGCTGCTGTATACTCATTACCAGTTAGTGAACCGTTTAATAGTAACAAAGCTCACTTCAAACATGACACAGAGTGCTCGGAAGCTTCAGGAAGTCAGGATCGAGAGCGACCAAATGGATGCTTCAGGAAGGAAGGATGACATCCAGATCAACCCATGGACATTGATCAAGATGAGCAAGGAGAAGGCGATGGCAGCCGCTGAGCGCGCACGCGAGCGAATCAGACAGAAGCTGCCAACATCACCGATGAAACCACTGCCGGTGGAGACAAAGCGAGGCCCTCTGAACCCAGAGAGAAAACACATCACAACTGGGAAAGAGATCGTACCGGTGTTCACCAAGAGCTGGTTGTCGGTGTCGCCCACGGCGAGGATCTCGAGCCCCAGGAGGCGATTCTCAGGGTCATCGTCGCCTAAGCCGCAGAGGTACAGGAGCAACTTCGACCTGAGGCTCGCTGAGGTGTCGAGGGATCTGGAGACCCACATCTCGAAGCAGGTGCTGTGCTCCGTCGTCATGAAGGGTGTCGAGGACGAAGGCTATTCGTCGTAATTTAGGTGGGGTGTTGTATGTTTAGTTCACAAGATTCATTGGTATTTTTTTTGGTTCTTGAGAATGGTGTGCTGTGCTTGCTTAGCATGATGCTGTCAATTCTCATTACATACAGCCTGTTCGCTTGCTCGTAAACGATCGTAAATTTTCAGCCGGGAACAGTGTTTTCCTCTCACACCAAACCAGCCAGCAGTAAATAATCCACGATACGATACGGCCTCCCGAACAGGCTGAGTTATTAGCATGATTCTTTCTGTTCCATAAAATTTGTTCAAGCACATTATGACAGCTATGTGAATCAGATATCTAATCTTCAGAACTGAAGATTGATCACTATCTCCACTGCTTAGTGTAATGCGCTGGCTTTAATCTACACAAGAATTCATTCACTCATCACAGCCTCAGCCCTCAGGATGCCAGGCCTACCATCATATCTCCTGATACGGTAGTGTATGATCGTTTGTAATCCTGTATCATCTTATCTCTAAGGCAGGTATGTAATGTACTTCTACATAATCTGCCCAAAAGGATCAGTAATCTAATCAACAATTCCACCAACTCTAGTCTCTTAAATGGTACCACAAGTCCATTGTTAGATCCTAGACCATAAACCCTAAAGCTTCTGTTTCTATGCGCGCATCGATAAGAAAGACCTTATAAATTATATATATGATAACAAAGATCTTTTCAAGAAAAGATGCAATATTTTTATGACTAGGCTAATATTAGCATCGAAGCCTATAGACACGTTATAGCATAGCCACAGAGTAAGGGTTGTGCACGGTTGAAGCGTCTTTTGAATGATCACCTCTTCTAGTGCCTTGATTAGGGTCCCAGAGGTGCCAAATCCTCTTCCTAATTGTTTGCATCCTAAGAACCAACCAGATCACGCTATCACTGCTCGCAGTGCGCCTTGGATCCGATGTGGTCCTGTCTTCACGAACTTCTTTTGATACCTCTCCTGCTAGGGTTGGGCGTTCGGTCTACCCGAACTGAACTGATGAGTTCTTCGGTTACTTTGAAAGTTCGGCCATATAAAAACAGAGACCAATCAGTTAGCTTTAAATTCCAGGAGTAAGCAAGTTCGGTCTCAGTTAGTTTGATTCAATCACGGTCATGAAACTCGTGATCGAACTAACTGGACCAAACTATCAGCCACAAAACAGCAGTTTTTTTAGCAAATTCTAGAAAAAATGACAAGACAACACGTAGATAAAACAAAGTGATAAGAGTGACAGTTGATACAAACCGACCAAAATGTAACATCATTAATAACAATCCAAAGTATGCATTCTGGCGACAAAGTTTGAATGTTGTAAGTTAGTTTTGTTACCCAAGATATATAACCGAACTAATCGTAAAAGGTTTGGTTAGTATAGACTTGGGACCGAACTAGTGATCAAAAACTTTGATCTTGATCTCGGTCAGTTCGGTTCAATCTTTATTTTTCAGTCAATTATCCTCAGTCCTATCTCCTGCACCATCTTGACTATGAAGGAAAGATGTATGTGGAGATTTTCTCTTAGAAAGAGGGTTCCTCCTAGAAAAGCTCAAAGGAAACATCTACAATAAAATATTTTTTTGACATGGCCGACAAGAACATAATGAAGCTCTTCGTAGAAATGGGATCATCCTCTGATTAGACTACAAGAGTGTATCTGGGAGGCCTATTTATAACTAGAAGCAATTATGATAGGTAGAGGAAGGTGGATTCGTTGGTGGAGGACCAACTAATCAGTGGTACGTGAATTCGATGTAGGTTATTGTCGGGTCATGGCTTAACCCGGCGGTGATGTCGTATGTGTTTTCACCATTGGGTCAAGTTACCACCTGACATTGACATATCACTATTGGACTATGGCCTGATCAATAGTGATATCCCCTATATCGCTGCTGGATCATAGCTCTACCCGACATTAAATTCACCGTTGGGTCAATAGAATCCTCAGTAGTTATATGGATCCTAGGCTCGTTACCTAGCAATGAAGATAGATCCTAGGCTCATTACCCAACAATGCAGATAGAATTCCTGCCGACTCTAGCATACCGAACAAAGATGGGCTAGTAGGGATTGTGTTCCATAAAACCTTCTTTGTTGGTATAATATTTTGATTAAGTAAAACTACATATTTTCTTCGTTCAAAAAATGTCATATTCTCGTTTTTGAGGACTCAATCCATCTCAACTTTGACCAAGTATATAAAAAGTACTAATATTTATAATAATAAAATATATATTTTGTAATAGATCTCTCGGGAGGTACAAATATTAATATTATTATCTATAAAAATAACTAAGAAAAATTGACTTAATCCAAATCTAGGATGTTTTTTTTGGATGGAAGAAGTAGTGTGAAGCGAAATAAATCTATGTTTGGTCAATTTAGATCTCCGATCCTTTGGTAGAGCTTCCACCGACTTCAGCTTCTCTGACGCACGCATTGTTCACACACTGTCCGTCAGGGCTCTTTTTTTTTCTCTCCTCCCACAGGGCCGGTGAAGCCAAAAAAAAAGCTCCACTGGCTCTGTGAGAGAAAGAAAGGGAAGAAAGAGAAAGAGCTCCTGTAAACGGTGCGTGTGTTAGAGAAGTTGAAGCTGGTGAGAGCTCTACGAACGCTGCCTTTGCAACTAGCTCACTCCATGGAATCAATTTATCCCCGAAAGGATTACATTTTGTATTTACCTTTACCGTTCGCGTCGACTTTTTCGTAAGTTAGGTTGTAGGAGTCCTTGTCACGAACTCACCGCGATTTGCCCTTCTAGCTGTAATCAACCGATGTGCTCAGTGCTCCCTCAAGCGCTTTCCCTAAATTAGAGAGTGGTAAAATGGTAGAAACTTGGGAGACTTAGCACACAAGGTTGACCTATAACAGTCACGTACGTTTAAGCACCTCCAAGCTTGTTTTGGAACTTTCCACCCTTTATTTGAAAGCTGGAAATAGCTAAGTCACCTCGAAGATAACTGCATATATACCAATCGAGAGGGTTTCTTCTCCACGATGCGTGACAGTCTATTGTCACGACTCACGAATCACAACAAACAAATCCTCCTCACGAAACCAACACACCGGCTCGAATAAGAAAAGTGGGATATGATTCGGAGCACTACGCGACCATTTCATGCATATGCTTGCGAAAGTAGTACGGGAAATGACTCGGCCCTGACAGACTTTAATTAGAAAGCAGACGCTCATCATCTCCACATCATCCTTTTAGTTTCTATATACAATCATTTTGTAAACGACCATCCAAACCCCGAAGAACGAACGTGTTACAAACCTCCACGGATCAACTAGCTAGGCACTAACTCAACTACCAATGGTAAGCTGGTAATAAAGTGGTAAGCATAGAACAATGGCCTAATTGAAGATGAAAAAACCCATCGCGTACATGTCCAGCCACAGCATCACATAATCTTGGTTTTCTCGGAGCGTCGTAGACAACCTTTTGCAGCCTCCATGCAGGGCCCCTATCCTGAAGTCTGAAGAAACGCCACCCTTGCCATGAGCCGACGGCACAGCGAAACGCCCCGGGATTGCGGACGCTCCTTCTCTGAAGACGCCGACGCCGTGGCGTGCTCCAGGGTCTTGGCCCTCGCGATCTCCATATACCTGGGTCTCTTCCGCTTGTAGAGGCTCGCTGCGTCGGGGTTGATGGCGCGGCCATCCATGACAGGCTCGTGCAAGAGCGAGACTATGACCAGGAGAATCTTGTCCACCGTCCAAGCCGGCGTCCACCAGTGCTTGTTGTCAGTCAGGAAGTCCAGGCAAACCAGTCCACTCCTCGGATCGATGTTCGGGTGGTACACCTGAAATCGCAAGGACATGCATGCGTGAACCAAGAACTGCAAGGAGCTAGCGAGCCGGAGATCATAGGAACAGTGCGTGGTACATACGTACCTTGGTTGCGAAGGTGACCTTGGGAGGCTTCAAGGGGTAGTGGCGAGGGAACTTGAAGCGGACGGCGAACACTCCCCCGTCGTAGGGGCTACCTCGGGGGCCGACGACGACGACCTGCCAGTGGAAGAGGTCCGTCGCGTCGGCGCCGGGGACGCACCACTCGGGCGGGTCGGCCCAGAGCCCCTCGAGCTCCTTCTGGAGCCGCGTCGTCCAGAGACGGGACTTGTCTGGCCGCGCGCCCGTGGTCGTCGTCGTTCCCTGGAGACGGAGAGCACCGCCACCGGGAGCCATGGCCTTTGCCTGCATGGCCGGTGGGCGGTGATGCAACGATCGGGGAGCCTAGCTAGGGACTCCCACGAAGGCACCAAACGAACAGAGGTCAGAATGTGAAACGTGTACTTGGTTGGTTAACTCGAAATGGCTTGAAGGGGGGAGGGGCCGGCATATATAAGATGGAGGACTTTTTACGCACACTGCGTGGGCGGTGGGCCGTAGTCTAGCGCAGTGCGTACGTCGGTACGTGGTGAAAGCCGTGAGCATGTGAGAAACCTGTATGGGCATCAGAATAGGTAGACCTAAAATCAACGAGACCTATTTTGAGTTGTCTGAGAGGCACAATCCAAATATAGACATCATCTCTTTTGGAAATCCATTTAGAGAAATGATTCTTTTTTGGTCTTGTTGTTGGAGAAGATACCAAATATGTATTGAAACTTTTGCCTGTAGCGCTACCCAAAGGACGAATAGATCTTGTATTTTGGGTTTTGTTGTTGGAGATAGCCAGAGAGACTCAGACTCCATTTATCGACAACTTGCACTCTTGTAGTAATACCATGAACAAAGTACTCATGAAGTCTACGTCAAACCATATAACATATATAAAGGCTGCATTTAGAAAATTGAGAAACTTCCGCATGAACAATTGCTTCAAAATAAGCTAGAGACATATATTACTTCACTATTAATAGCAATCGCACAATATTGTGCTCTTTCTTTTTTGGAAAAATATTTGGTACAAACCACACATTCGGTGCAATCATAAAAATAAAATCCTCGAAACATAAAATTTTCATCTGATGCGTATGTATAATGGCGGGTCCAGCGGATAGTCCAGGTAGACCCAGGACTACACTAGAATTGGGCCCAAATTTGTTTTTAGTACTCTGCGCAGCAGCGCAGGCCATGAAAATTTGGCCTGTTACTCATCTCTCCCGTCTCCCTTCTGCTTGCTGAACGCGATCACAAGACTCTTCGGCTCTCTCTGTCTGCGACTACTGCTGCTGAGGCAGGCAGTGGCGGCCCTTCCTGACGGCTGGCCGCCCCACCCCATCGGCCTCCCCAGCTCCCCTCCCCTGCAGCTCCGCCTGGCCGGCAGCCGGCAGCCGGCAGCCCCACGCCGCCGGCCCGCGCCCGCCACTCCGCTCCGCCTCCGCCAGATCCCACATCGGCACATCCCAGTCCCGGCAGTCCGGCGTGCGGGCCGTGGCGCGCCAACGCCGGCCAGCACAGCAGGCAGCTCCGCAGCTGGCTACGCCGGTCGGCGCAGCGGGCGTCCGCCCGTCCCCTGGTGGCCTCTGTCTGTCCTGGAAGCACACGCACTGCCTGTCTGCCTGTCTGCCTGGTGAGTTTCAGTAAATCCCCATTCTTTTATGTAGTTATAAGCCTTGGGGTTTGGATATTGAAGATTGGAAATTTGATTGTAAAGGCTTAGGAATTGTGGATCTATCGTCTGTGAGTCTAGAATTGAATGAAATTTGGACGGTGAGTGTGCTTTTGAAGTTCTGAGATGCAGAGCTTGGATTTGGGTCGGCCCCCAGCTGCTGCTGCTCCATCAGTCAAATCCCCAATACCAAAAGGCCATGAAAGGAAGAAGAGTTGAGCCTGATGAAGAAGAATCGATGTTAGTCTGTCCCTGGTGTGCTCTTCTGAATGCTAGACCGTGTTTTTTTTATAAGGATGCTAGACCGTGTCTTTTTTTTTGAGCATATGCTAGACCGTATCAGTTAGCCTATGATTGAACCACCAGTGTAGTTTGTGTGCATCCCATACCCATCCTTAGTGCTGTCTGTACATGTTTCACAAATTCTGCTGCTTCAAACTTGCTGATACATATAGATACGGATCTATTTGTAAGCGAGGATGGCATAGTTCGTGCTTTCATGGCAATGAGAAAGCGCAAAGCAAAAACCTTCAACTAGAACTTGTATTGTAATCTCTTATTTATGTAAGACCATCTTATGTATGATCTATTTGTGCAAGTTTTGAACCTTTCAATTGTATTTTCTCAATTTGGTTAATTTATAGCTATTTTACCGAACTTTTTATTTGAATTTTGTCGTGTTACACATTTTTTTTTTTGACTAGGACTACCCTGGTTTCAAATCTGGGTCCACCACTACCTATAGATATTTTATCTCAAAAATTGAGGTGCAAAATCGTTGTCAGTGTTTCCTACAACCAAAAGTTTCCTTGGCATTATATGATTCACTATTTCAAGTATAAAATTGAAAAAAATGCAATCGCCGTAATGACAAGAAAATAAGGGGAGTACTTGATTACAACATTTGTGCTTAGCTGTCTTCGGATAGATTTTTCTTACCACTAGTTTCTCGCAAAATACAATTTTTGAAACAGTTATAACAATAGTGTGCAAAATCCTTCACCTAAGCCGCCCCCGCGTACGTCGCTCCTCTGGAACGGCACGAACGGTGGCCCAAGGTGCGGGGAGGGCCATGCTAACAATAGTGACATCATGGCTTCACACTAATGGGATGCTAGAGAGGATCAAGGCTTTGGAGGTGTGAGAGGTGATCACGTCGTTTGCGTCCGTAGTCCACCCTTCTTGGCTACGCTGTGGATCCTGCAGGGCGGTGGCCAAACTTGGCAGCCCGGTCCTCCAATCTGTGCAGACACCGTGGCTATGGGTTGCTCTTCTCGGCAGGCACGGCGCCGTCTGCTGCGACGATGTGGAGCGTGTCAATCATGGAGCATCAGGCTAGGCATCCCATGGTGGTCGGCGATGGCTAAGCCGGCGATGATTGTTGGAGACCGGCGCAACAACGACTAGCTTTGAAAGGCGGTCGGTGCGGACTAGAGGCAACTTGTTGTGGTTGGGGCCGTGGAGGCTGGTCCCACATGACAACTTCTAGTTTGGTGTGGCGGTGGTTCCATTTTTGCCTCATGGGGCTTAGCAGTGGCACGACACGGGAAGGTGTGTTTCGACCTTGGGTATAGAGGTAATGACGTCTTTGGCGCTATTTGTTGTGTGGTCACTCTCCCCCACTGGGGGGGGGGGTTGATTGAAAAACCTTGTGCCAGATTATCAAGTTGGCATTGGTGGCGTCTGTGGATGTTGTTTTTCTCCTTGGAAGTGTTGTTGCGGACCCTCCCTACCCCCCTACCCAAAGCTCGCTGTTGTGGCATATTGTGTGGTGTTATCGGTGCTCCGGTTGTCTTGTCGTTGCTTTCTTCGTGTGGGTGTTTTTTATTTCTTTTTTCGCTGCATATTTTTGTTAAGTCACTTCTCTATTAATATGTATCGGCCAAATTTCTTGCCGTTGTTTTTGAGAGAGAAAAAAAGATAGTTATGAAAACAACCTACTGTATAAGTACTTTGAAATACAAATTTACCAGTTTGATAAGTTTTATAAAGTCAAAACAATTATTTACAACTTAAACAACAATATAATTGTGCAGATCAACATATACAAGAAATCTGAGTTTTTCTAATTAGAAAAATGCGCGGCCACTATAGTTTGACAAAGGGAGTAAAGTAGAGGAGAAGCGCCGCCTAAAGGTAGGAAATGGTAAGGCGACGGTGCATCCCCGAAGAAACGCCACCACCTTTTTCCACAGGCGACGATGCGTCGTCGCGGCGCTCCAATATCTCACGGGACTCTGGCACCACGATCCTCCTTTCTTTGTAGGCAGAACTCCTAGACCTAGCAGCCACATCGTTGTGGTACCTCGGCCTGCTCCTGCTCCTCCTCCTGCTCGTGTCTTTCTTGGCCGGGTAGAAGTGCGAGACGATGGGCGTCGAGGAGTACTCCCAGGTCCACGCTCTGGCCGTCCCCTCGTACAGCTCGAGGTCGGCCGCGTAGATATCAGCGATGTCCTCGTTGATGGGGTCGCAGTCGAGGACGGGGTCGTAGAGCACGGAGACAACGTAGAGGAGGAGCTTGTCCACGGTCATTGCCACGCTCCAGTTTTCGTAGTGGAAGATGTCCAGCATCAGCTCCCCTTCTGAGCTGATGTTCGGGTGGTACACCTGCGGACGTGTACGGATGGCACAATATATAAGAGATCGTCATCGAATCCATTGAAACGAGAGGAGAGGGGTCGAGACGTACCTTGGTTTTGAAGGTGATCTTTGGGGGCTTCAAGGGATAATTGCCGATGAAGTCGATGTCGACGGGGAACGTCCCTCCGGCGTAGGGGCTGCCATCAGGGCCGTCGATGACCACCTCCCAGTGGAGGATGTCCGTGACCGGCGAGGCGCCAGGCCGGCAGAAGTCCGGCGGGTCGACCCACAGGGTTTCGAGCTCTTTCTGGATCCGTTTTCTAGACGGCTCAGAGCCCATCATCATCCTTCCTCCCAGGAGCTAGTGATCCGGCCTATCTGTCGCCGTATACTCGTATCGCGGGCGGTGCCAGCCGTGCGCTCCTCCGATGGCCTGTGGAAGGTCGTAAAACCCTAATTTGTTCTGGCGAAGGCTGCGTTGACAGTTGATTTACAACGAAATTAAACGTACTAGCCCTGGAGTGAGAAGAGATCGCTCCGAAATCCACGGTTTCGACGCTTCAATCTACTCGACCCCAGAGATCAATATATATAACCACTTTTCCGTGTCCGACATGTGGACTCACCCTCTTTTGCTACGGGATTGGTTTGTTTCTAAGATGCACTAAGACATGATGAAAAAATCATTTAATAAACCAACCAAAAGCGTAATGGATCCACATCCAAACGTTACGAATAATAAGAAGCACCAGAACACAAATGATCAACGATCATTTCAATCCGTCCATTCTTTTTTCTCGACCACTCAAAAGACTTGCACGCTTTTGTATTAAGAGAAAGCGTCGTTTAGTACAATCCATCCATTCTCTTCTGCTATTTAGTCCTTCCAAACATTGCCATTCGGTCCTTTCACTGATCCAATCATTCGATACAAGGGTACGTTGCCCGTTGGCACCATTAGTATGGACGGTAATGCTAGGAACTAGACGTCCGTCCATGCCGGACACCCCTACTAGTGGACCCCGACATCCAAAAGGCTATCTTATTCGTTCGTTCCTATCTGCTCTGCTCCAGTCACCACAGTGCATCACCGCGACCACGCTCCGCCACGCCTCCTGCATGCCTTCCTCTCCACCACGCCTCCCGCCAGCATTCCTCTCCACCGCCGCTGAGCCTGCACTGCCGTGGCGTGCTCCCTCATGACCGCATAGCCGCTGCCGCCTTGCTGTGCGAGGCCGCACCCACCCGACTGCTACCGTCGCCTCCACCGCGGGCACCGCTCGCCGGGGACACTGCACGCGCCCTACCGCCGGGGCCAGCGCAGCAGCTCACCCGCTGCTATCCTCGTTCTCCACCGTGACTGCAGAGTCGGATCCCGTTTTGCCCTCCTGCTTGTCCGGTTTTGCTGAAAGTGCATGTTGCAAGCGTATGTTTTAAATGTTTTAGATGTTTCAGAGGTATGTTGCAAGCGTTTCAGATGGATGTTGCAAAAGTAGATCGGGATGTTGCATATGTTGCAATGGTTGCATACATACGTTTCAAGTGTATGTTCTAAATCTTTCATCTGGTACAGACGTATGTTGCAAGTGTTTTATCTGGATATTGCAAAAGTAGATCTAGATGTTGCATATACATGCACGTTGCAAGCATATGTTTCAAATGTTTTCTACGTATGTTTGCAAGTGTTTCATCTGAATGTTGTATATATTTGCAATGGCTTTCAAATGTTTTCCAGACATTTTCGTAAGTGTTTCATATGTTTGTTTTAAGTGCTTCATTTGTCTTTTTTTATGTTGCAACTATTGCATCTGAATGTTTCAAAAGTAGATCAGATGTTGCACATGGGATACGTGTGAGAAGCGGCTGGCGGCACGCATGACGTTCAGGGCGGGGTGGGACCACTGCTGATGCGCTCGCTCGCGAGCCCAACACGTGGTATCACCGGGTAGATGATTATTTTAGAGTCTTTTTAGATGTATATAGGCATAGATATATAGATATAGAATAGATAGATAGCTATAGAAGAGAAGATAACTTGAGCAACGTCATCTTCATCTCAGTATACACGTGTCTATGACCTGTCAAGTGCCGCGTTGACCTCCTCGTCAACCTGGTCAATCTTCATCATCCTCTGTCCAGATGTCTTCTCGTACCATGTGAGCAATGCAGATCACCCATGGCTTCTTTAATTAGAAGTCCCTTCTTTGTCAAAGTCTTACCTCACCCTACCCTTCGCCAAGTCTTAGCTCGCCCTACAACACCATGTGGCCCATAGGCGTCAAGCCTCCTTGCCACACAAACCCATGGTCACGGTCCATCAATGCCGAGCGTAGCCTACCCTTCACCAGCCAGCCGGCTGCCATGTCACATATCATGAGCCAAAAGACATTTTCCTTCGACACACATTCCTATCACCACTGGTTAGTCCCGTGATAAAAACATACATTACATGTGCCCTACATGGAACTACACGCACTGTATTCAATCCCGTGCACACAAGCTCAAACATATTCTTCAAGCACACACAAGCACTGCCCTGCAGACAACCATGTCGATCATTCATCACACAGAGTAGACCAAGTCACATCTCAACTTGGTCTCAATAGGCATCTGTATACATTTCTTTTTATATATACACATCGGGCACAGTACAACATTTATTAATTCAATTATCTTTGTCAGTTTAAGGATGACCACCTAATTTATGCTGACAACATTCAGAGCACTGCGGTACAGCAGACCCAAAACACCCGTTTGGTTCCACATCAAGACAGGGAGTCAAGATACGAGTAGTTGTACAGGCGGCCGAACTGAAGCAGGCTGCCATACATCCTATCCCACACACCAACGAAAAGTGTGTCAGTGTCTGGGCTGAACGACGTACCGGATATCTCGCCAAAGAAGTCCAGCTCCTGCCTTTTGTTGTAGTCACTCTTCACATCGTAGATGTGCACAAAGTCAGCAGGTTCAGCCATGGACATGAACTGTCCATCCGAGGTGAAGCGGATCGACCGGATGGCTCCAAGGTTACCCCTCAACACATGGACGGATTTTGAGAGATTCCTCACGTCCCAGATTCGGCATGTCTTGTCTTGGTTGCCAGTAGCAAATGTTCGCCCATCAGGGCTCCAGGCCGATGCAAATGAATAGTCCCGATGTCCTTTTATGGAATGAAGCGTCTGCATCCAGAAGCAAAATCAAATGGTCAACTGGCCTAATTCACATCATTACAGCACTTTTACACAGTCTGGTAACCTGAGCTTAGTAAACCATATTGATTAGTGATTGTACCTTTCCAGAGTTGGCATCAATAAGTAGACCATCAGGATCATCGCCCACAATAACAACTACCTTTCTGTCAGGACTCAACGAAGTATGCTGCATCAACAAACTACAAGTAAACACAGATACAGCAACAAAAATAATGAAGAATTGCACTAAACTTGACCTACTCCCTTCATTCCAAATTATAGCTCACTTTATCTTTGTTCTAAGCCAAGCTTCTTTAACTTTTGACCAAGTTTTCTAGAAAAAATGCACCAACATCTACAACATCAAATCAGTCTCATTAAATTTTCATCAAACGTCTTGATGGTGCATTTATTTGAACTTTACTTCGGAACAAAAAGAACTTATTTGTGAAATTCATACAGATGTTGGACCCATTTATCCTCTACATTATGTTAGAAAAGGTGACAAGGAAGAGGGAAGCTAAGGATCCCATGTCCAGAATGGCCAGGTATATTGAAGGGTGCCAGCAGTGCATGTCACTTTTCTTTTATTATTACTTCTGTATCCAGAAGATGGAAGCCTACTATGTCATCAACTGCGGCAACAGAAATGTAAAGGCATTTTGGATTTGTTCTACAAACCAAGTATAGGTTTATGTCTCGGTATTGCTAGATTCACCAACAGCTATAACCAATAGGTCAAAAACATGCCCAAGAAAGTAGAACAAGCTGATAATACAAGCACAACTATGGGGCATATGAAATAGCAATGAAGTCTGTATTCTGTAAATTTTATTTGCTGGCAGCATGTGTAGAAAGATGTACCTTGTAATGATAGCACCAACAAGAAGATCCAAATATAGAACATAAAGGTAATAGAAATAGCTAAGAAACCAAAGGAACCTACATTCACTGGCCATTCAAACTGAAAATGCTTGAATAGCTGGAATCTCTCCATGTCATAGTATCTCACACCAGAGTCGTTATTTGATGCAATGAAGTGAACGGCGCCACTGGGGGTGCAAAAACAGAATTAAAATGAATATGTGTTCGGTGAGATAGCATCTTTAGTAACACAGATAGGAAGTTACCTAGAGGTATTAAATATCTCAACCGCATTTGTAATAGCATTATCATCATAAGTTGTTCGACAGCAAAAACTAATACCTTCCCGATCAAGGTGCTGCAACAGAAGACAATCAATTGAACAAAAGATCAGTACGGAGAGCACACAAAAACATTAACCATGTAAACACATGCACAACATCCATCAGCTCGTTAGTAAAATATGGTTGGATAGTAAATTTATATGGATCAAAACTAGCTATTATGCGGCCTAATGTAGCGAAGCGGTTGGGCAGACCGTTTATTACCTGGTGCCCAATCCAGAATCTACCCATTTCCATTGACTAATTTTACCCATCCCCATGGATATGCCCAATGGGTATGGACTATGGGTATGTTCGTTTCTGCCGAATTTTTTATTTTTAGCCCTTTTTTTGAAAAAAATTCACAAATATGCCTGGAGGTATGATTTCAAAATCTGGACCCTTAGCTCGGCGCCTTACACTTCTCGGCGCCATCTTTGCTGGCGCCGAGGTCGGGGCCACGTTGGCGGCATGGACGCTGACATGGCAGCCAGCTCGGAGCCGTGGCGCCGAGCTTGGCGTCGTGGATCTTGGTGCCGAGCTCGGCGCCAACAATCCTGGCGCCAAGCCCACTCTTACGTATGGGCCCTCCCTTCCTTTCTCTATTCCTCTCTTTCTCTCTACCGAGCCGTAACATTGCTGCTTTTGCTGCCGCCGCCGCGCGCCGTCGCGTTACCCGAACGTCCTGCCTTACGCCGTCCCGTCCCGCATGCCTTGACCCAGCGCTGCGCCCGCTGTCATCCCCTGCCCGTGCCACGCCCTCGGCGGCCGTCCCCCTCCCGCCGCTTTTCGCGTCGTCCCAGGCCTGCCGGCGTCGGGTAAAATTGTGAATATGCAATGTAGGTACTTAGTTAGCTTTGATTGTAATGTAGTAGTTCGATTATTTGTTATTTACTAGTTAATGTGATGACTTAGGTAGTTGATTTAGTTAGTGATCTAGTGAGATAGATTTGTAGATAGATAGAAACATAGATACATATATATAATTAGATATGTAGATAGATAGAAACATAGGTACATAGACATAGCTATTTTGTGAGTACACTGTATATATACGTAGTTATTATCTTATTTATTTAGTTTGTAGTTAGAAAGTACTTGTTAGGTACTATCTATCGTCTAATTTAGACTAAAGGACATGCGTTTCGTTATGTGTTTGAACTAGATGGACAACCTAGTGACCATATATCATGGAGGCACCGTTGAATGCGATCGCTATGGATATGTTGAGTTTGTTGACATGCAAAGCATGCCTGTGCTATTCAATGATAGGCCTTCATTTAGTGAGATGGTTGCAAGGGCTCGGGAGGAGCTGTATTGCCTTGGAGATGATGATGATGGCATTGCCATTGAGGGTGTACTGCACCTAGGTTCTCCTCTCAACATCCTCAGGCGAATGATCCTAATTGGGTGTGCGGATCAGTGGGAGAACTATGTGAGATCGGCTATGAAGAGCCAGCTGCAATGTTTGGACGTGGTTGTGCGTCGGGTGTTAGTTGATCCCATCCCTCATGGGTTTTCCCCACCAATGGGTCAGCAGGCACACTTCGACCCTCCCGTCCCGGAACCTGATATGGATGTGGAGGTTGCACCTACGGTTCCCGATAATCAATCTGCCCCCAATCAGGTAGTTGGAGATGCTTATCAGACTCATGATGTTGTGGCGGATCCTCCTCATGAGATCCCTTTGACACAGAATCATCTGAGTAAGTGTCTTATCCGCATGGTTATTGGGAGCTTACCCCCTTCTTTACATCCATTTCTTTCATTCTTTCCTCATTTCTCTACTTATGTTGCAGGAGACATTCCTGACAATGTGGATGTGCCCCCTGTTGCTACGCAAGTGCACTGTGGAGATGGATTCCGTGGCTCCAATAGTGTTGAAATTATGAATGATTCGGAGCCATATGAGATGGCAAGGGCTCTTAATTCTGATGATGATCGCCCAGTTGGAGAGCTGACAGAGAGTGATGTTGAGATGCTGAGGCGTATCTTTCCCGGCCGCCATGATCCAAGAGTTCATGAGTTCAGCGATTTTGCTCATTCCGATCAGGCGTGTGCAGAAGGACGTGATGATGAGCTCCTAGAAGCTCCTGAGGCCGGCCCTAACATGGTAATTGAGAATGGGAGGGTATTCAAGAATCTCCCTGCATTGAAGAGGTGGTTGCAGGCGTTTGCAGTGATACGAAAGAGACCTTACAAGGTCTTACATTCATATGCGGAGTGTCGTTACACAGTTGTGTGTAACAAGGAACGCTGCCCATGGAGGGTTTGTGCAAGGAAGCAAAAGGTCACCGGAAAGTGAAAGATCACAAAAGTTATCGGGCCACACAATTGTGCTGACCATGTGCTGACACTGAAGCATCGGCAGTTGACATCTATCCTCATTGCCAAGCGGTTGATGGGAATATTGCAGGAAGAACCCAACATGAAGGTTAGGACAATTATCAGGACCGTTGAGGCGTTGTATGGAAGTTATGTGATAACTTATAGTAAAGTTTGGAGGGCTAAGCAGCGAGCGTGGAAGATGATATATGGGGACTAGGAGGATGGGTATGAGCAGCTGCCAGTACTTTTCAATGCAAGCAAAGCGGTGAATCCAGGCATGCATTATGAGTACATCCCAAAACCAAATGTATGGAAGGATGGGATGCAGATATTCTTCCGTGCTTTCTGGTGCTTCCCTCAGTGTGTCGAGGTCTTTAGGCACTGTCGTCCCGTCTTCTCCATTGATGGTACATTCTTAATTGGCAAATATCAGGGCACACTTCTTATAGCCATATCCTGTGACGCGAACGAGTTGGTTCCTTTGGCATTTGCTTTGGCTGAGAAGGATAACAATGACAGTTGGGGATGGTTCTTGAGGCTAGTCCGGATACATTTGGTTGGGCCTGGCAGAGAGGTTGGCGTCATATCTGATAGGCACCAGGGCATACTTAATGCCGTGCGAGAGCAGATAGAGGGGTATACACCTTTGCACCATCGTTGGTGTACTCGGCACCTTACCGAGAATCTACTCCGGAAGAATGGTGTGAAGGATAACTTTGATCTGTTCCTGGAGGCTGCTCGACAGTTTGAGGATAAGTACTTTCAGAAAAAGTTGGAGCAGGTCAGAACCTCATCAAATGCAGAAGGTAGACAATGGCTCACAGGTTTGATGGGGGATTTGGAGAAATGGACAAGAGCTCACGACGCCGGTGGATGGAGGTACGAGTTTCAGTGCAGCAACATGGCGGAGTCATTCAATAAGTTGCTATTGGGGATACGTGGTATGCCCGTGAATGTAATCGTTCAATTCACCTTCTACAAGCTTGTTGCCTGTTTCAACGATAGACACGCCCATGCATTGAAGTTGCGGAGTGATGGAGAGATATGGGCTCCGAAACCAAAGGCATACATAGATAAGGCAAATGAAAGGGCTGGCACACAAGAGGTTACATGCTTTGACCACGCCACAGGGACTTATCAAGTCGAGCATAGGGGCGGTACAACGTCCGACGGCAAGGTCCAAGAGTCGAGGATGCATGTGGTTATCCTCTAAGATTTCAAAAGCACTTGTGGTAAACCAAGGCAGTACCACTTTCTATGTTCCCATTTGGTGGCAGCAGCTAGGCATCGCAACTATAATATCGAGGGCAGGATACCTCACGAGTTCAGTGTCGACACGCTTGTGCACACATGGAGCCCCCGTTCCGTGCCTTTCCGGGACCCTGGAGAGTGGCCTCCATATGATGGGCCAAAGTACATTGCGGATCCAGCTTACCATTGGAACAAGTGTGGATCAAGGAAGAGTACGAGGCACAGGATGGTTATGGATCAGATACCCGGAAGAACGAGGCGTGGGAGAGGAACCCCATTTCTTACTGACCCCGAGCAGTACGAGTGCGGCAAGTGTGGTAGACTGGGCCACAATTCACGCACTTGCCATTAGCATATTAGTGAGGTGCGACTATAGGTTGTTTTCATTATTTCATATTTGTCGTATTCATTTAATTAATTATACATGTCTCAATTTATGCATGTAATTGTGTCAATTACTTGTACATTTCTAAGTTCATGTTTCATTGTATATTGAATTTCTATTTCATTGACTTTTTTTGTAGGATGGCGCAATTCCACCTGCTCGACCCGACGTACGAGGCGACCCACTGAGGACGTCTCATAGCGGAGGGGTAGGTAATAATCTATACGTTTTGTTCAAATTTTTGTGAGCGTACATGTGTTCGTGAAGTAACGGGAGACTATTTTATTCCATGCAGGACCTTCCTCTCCTTCGTCCTAGAACCCACAATGGGTTCTTGACATGCAGTACGACAACATGTACACTCCTTTCCTGCAAAGAGCTGGCCTGGATGTCATCTCTTTTCAGGTTCGTCGTGGGTTGCCTAAGTTCAACTCAGCGGCCATAACTGTGTTGGTTGATAGGTATTATCTTTAATCATTGCCTCCATTCATGGTCATTTATTCATGCGCTTGCCTTTTTGACATGTAATCTTGCTTTGTCTAAAATGTAGGTGACAGTCGGAGACTCACAGCTTCCACTTACCTTTCGGAGAGATGACAGTCACGCTTCAGGACTGTCAGAAGATGCTAGGCCTGAGAATTCACGGCAACGCAGTTACTAGGCAGTGCAGGTCAGAAGGTTGGAGAGCACGAGTAGAGGCCTTCCTTGGGCATGAGGTTGGCGAGCAAGGGGCTCGCACTTCTTGAGTTCTAATCTCCTGGCTCCGGCAAGAGTTCGCACAGTGCCCCGAAGAGGCAGATGAGGAGACAGTTGGGTACTACTGCGGCAAGAGCTCGGGCAGGAAGGTTGGGGGCCGGGTTGAAACACCACCTCGGCGCCATAGATCCTCGGCGCTAGGATCTATGGTGCCAGGATATACGGCGCCAAGATCGACGCCAGGATCTACGGCGCCAAACTGCCTGCCAAGTCACCGCCACGTCTGCGTCGAGCCCAAGACCTCGGCGCCAGCAACGATGGCGCCGAGCTAAGGGTCCAGATTTTGAAATCATACCTCCAAGGGCATATTTGTGATTTTTTTAAAAAAAGGGCTAACAAATAAAAAATTCAGCCGTTTCTGCCCAGATCTTTCTTTGTTCCTGTTACTTACCTTGGGGATCTGAAAGCTTAACCACTCCAGAAGTGGAGATGAGTATATATAGAGAGCTAGAGAGCCTCATGGGGCGGGCCATATCGGCCTATAATATAAGAGCCTTCATACAGTTAACACCCCCCCTTCAAACTCAAGGTGGAAGCGGAGGATTGGAAGCATTGAGTTTGATCAAGTGAAGCCGATGCTGCTCTCGAGTTTGTGCTTTACTGAAAAAGTCAGCCAATTGCAACTCTGAAGGCACATACTATTGACAATGAGACCGAGTAAAGAAGGCATCCACACCAATATGCTTTGTAAGTTCATGTTTCACGGGATCATTGGCAATTTGTATGGCCCCTGTATTATCACAGAGAAGAGGTGTGGCAACATCACAAGAAATACCAAAATCAGCCAACAACCATCGAAGCCATACAATCTCTGCAGTAGTAGTAGCAAGCGCTCGAAGTTCGGCCTCCATAGTAGAACGAGATACAGCTGCTTGTTTCTTGGACTTCCATGCAATAGGAGAAGAGCCAAGATGAATGCAGTATCCCGTGATGGAATGTCAATCTGTTGGGTCACTCGCCCAAGTGGAGTCCGAGTAAGCATGAAGCTAAAGCGGACTATCATGCGCATAGAATAAACTCTGAGATGATGTCCCCCGTATGTATCGCAGCACACGAAGTAAATGTCCAAACTGAACAGAAGTTGGGGCACAAACAAACTGACTCAAAATATGGACGGCATGAACAATATCAGGCCTATAATATAAGAGCCTTCATAGAGTTAACAATTCCTACATCAATCTCTGCGTGGACTAATTATCCATGTCCTGTGATTAATTCTCCCAGTGGCGCCAAGTCCTAGGCCGGCGACCATGGCCTGGCTGCGGTTGTTGTCGCCTGCATCCACCACCAGTGTCAGTCCCCATCCCAAACTCGCACAGGCCGCAGCCAACGACAACCACGGCACCAGAATTCTGGGGCAGCAAAGCAAACGACGCAGGCAGAGGAGAGCTGTCGCCAGTGGACTCCTGAGACATTCTTCCGCACCGTCGATGCACGTCTCTTGGCCTCGCCTGACTAGCTGATACCTACTCCGTGCTCGTCTGCACCATCCTTTTCTCTGTTGCTGTCTCCGCCTCCCTGGCCCCACGGGTCTACTTCACCATCACTATCTCTCATGTTTAGAGTGGGTATGGGTGTAATGGGTAAAACCTGTTGATACCCTCCCCATATCCATTCTTTACTGGATAATCCATACCCTCCCCAAACAACACGGATATGGATTTGGGTACAGGGACTGGATACCCAATGGCATCATTAGCCTAATGCGTGCATTATATGTCCAAGTTTCTACAGAGGATTCCAGAATAGATGGTGTGCTGCAATCTTTAGATGAACATCCAATAAAAGAATATATATATATATATATATATAGGAGAGTATATTCAGTAGCCAGCTACAAAATAAGTTATTCTGTAACCACCTCTATTTATGATAATTCCATATACTAATTTACGATAATGTCAATACATGTTTACGATAGTTGGGTTACTATAACATATGAGGATATTTACCGTAACGTTATAGTAAATCACATGGTAAAGAGTTACTATAATCTTGTAAATTAGCATAGTAATTATCGTAACTTAAAGTGGCTACGGTAGTGTGTGTGTATATATATATATATATATATATATATATATATATATATATACATACATACATACTGGTTAGCAGAGATAATGTGACCACAGTCCACAGCAAAGCTGCTGTGCCAACAGCTAGCACATCAATGGCTTGGATTCAATCGAACTTGATCCATAGTTGTTAACTTACTTTACAGATTAGCGTTGTTAACTTACTTTACAGATTAGCTCTCCTTGAAACCCACCAGCTACCAGTAAATTGTCCTTGACTGCCAAGGTACTAACTTGAGTCTGAGAAAAACCCTCTAATAAACTTCCTGCATGCTTCTGTACAACAATACCCATCATCAGTATAAGTTGAATAACAAGAGAGGATGGGAAGACAACAGACAACAGAAAAAGAAAATGATATCATACCTCCCTTGGTGCCACATGTCCTTGGACGTTGATAAGTTCAGTATCCACACCACTCAATGCTGACCAGTGCCGAATTGAGTAATGTGATACTAGGTAGATGTCGTGCTTGGACGTAGCCCATACCAAATTCCTAAGCTGTAGGCACAAATCAGACTCTCTGTTTCATATTACACCAAAACCATATAAAAGAGAGGGCAACATTGATCAAAAGTTCAAGACCATTGCAATAGGTTAGTTAAAATGCAGGGAAATCTTAGTTTACTTTTGAAAAGCAAACATAGGCAGAACTGTGTAATTGGACCATGCAGACAACCCTGGTCCCTGAATATATTGAACCATTACCTCAGCATAATATCTCCAAATAGATGGAGTTGAATCACTACTGAAGGTGGCACAACCCTTCACACATTTAACAGGTGTACCTTGTGCTTATGTCACTATGCATGGCTTGCATGCAAAGCTTGAGTATTTTTTGCGTAACTCAGTATACATCCAAGAAACCAACACAAGTGTGTCGGTGTTTCAATGTACATGCAGCTTCCTCTTGGAATCAATAGTTAGTTTGCAATCACAAACAGCGAGTTGAGTGAAATAGACTAGAAGTTAAGTCACAATTGAGATAATCTTGTAACTTCTTGCCATATATCAATATTTATGGAGAAATTGCTCAGCAGATATATTCCAGAAAAAAAAAATCCAAGAGACAAAGTGACATTATAAGTACAAAATTGGTTTATGAAAAAATTATAGCATGCTCCTGTGAGGAAATGTCCAGAAAATTGGTGCGGTCTATCAACAAAATACCTTAACTCATAATTACCCTGTATCATATTCTATCAAAGGATTAAGAATACACAAAAGGGAGTTAACTCACCTGAAAATGTAGAATAGTTGATTTAACCGATCTAGTATTTCGTCTGAACTCATAGTACATTCCACCTTTCTCTGTTGGTTTGCAATCCTATACCAAGACAAGTGTCAACCACATGCGGATAGAAAATTTTACAAAGCCGAACTTCCAAAAAGAGTAAGAGGCAAACCTTCATAGCTTCTTCTCCAGAGTTAGGTATATTCTCATAATTTTTGTACTGTTCTAATCTGGACTGTCTGTATTTTTTACGGGTTATGTTTATCTGCTCCCAGGGTATTCCTTGAATGTCCCTTCCTTTTCTTGCATCCGCTGATGAAGTATCTGGGATCTTATCATTCTAAAGAGAGAGAGAAAAAAGACAATCACTTAGAGCAATATAAGTGACTGTATAAGCAACTTGACCAATGTTCGAGTTGTAACACAAATGGTACACCATGCCAGGGCTGTGGAGGCAATGAAGTGCACAATAAACAATATAACATTGACTTTATTGGAACGGATTTTTTTGTCTAACACTTTATTGGAATGGATTGTATCATAGCTTCCAAGTCACACAGCGAGTTGAATCTCAAAATTCCTTTGCATGGGAAACCAGAGGGGTGGTACAATAGAAAGAAAAACCAAACTCATACAAAATTGCGTCTGCAAAGCTAGAAGATAAATATTGTAGAGTCATAGAATGAACCATGGACACGGCCATCATCTTATATACTATTATGCTTCCAAAGACAAACCCAAAATGACAGCAATTTACCAAGGGCTCAGACACCAAGACAGGCAACAACATAGCAAAGCCAACAGAAATTAAGGATAGAGAGGAGCAATTTTAGAAAGATAAAAGAGAAGATAGTAGCGAATCCATAATTTGGGTAATTGGCTAATTGCAATTTTCAGCAGACAGACATTTTGCAACTGTATGAGGACATCACTCTATATTAAAGAAAACAGACAACTGTAAGAGGCTATCAAGTACATGCAGTATGAAAAACAAGAACGTTGGTGTTCAATGGATTCAGTTAACTAATAAACACGGGCATGCACAATAAGTGGCTGAAACAAATCATTGGCAGGGGGGTCTCATTGGTTCAGTGTCTAGTCACGCACACTCGCTAAGCAATGGCATGCCAACTACATAAATGAAACACTACATCAGCATCCAAGATGATATGCTCTACATCAGGAGAACTACATGCTACCTAGCCAATAAGTTTTGCAAATGAGAAAAGCATATAGCACTACTGTTACAAGCAGCATGTGGGGTAACATTGGTGCATCAGGCGAAATAAATCTCTCATTGATTTGCTGCATATTGCGCTAGTAGCAATGTGGGGTATGTAAGAGATATGCTAAATCAGCATTCAAAATGATACAAGTTTGTAGGCACCAGTTGATAATGTTCTACTGGTCCAATAAGGATTGTGCATCTCAAAAGCTTTGTGCAGGCTCAATTGCACATGCAATAGATGACAAAAAGAAAATAAAACGCACCGGTTGGCCATAATCATTATCCTCTGCATCAGAATCCCTAATCCCTCGCTGCTCGTCTACCATGTCATCAGCAGGATCATCCATATCATAGTCATCCTCCATCTCATCAATGTCGTCGTAGTCATCATAATAATTGGACATTGATCCTCTCATACGAGAGAAGGTGTCCCCTGCCTGCAAACAAGAACCACCACGAATGACCATGCCATCCTGAAATCAGTTGCATATTTGCATTGACAAAAACATCCTAGCCCAATCAAAAATCACTGCACTCTTCGAAATTTGTGTTGGGCACATAACTCAGCGAATTCTAGCATCATACAATTTCGATTCTAACATCAGGGGCGGACCCAGTACTTGTAATTCGATCAGATCCGGATACAAATAGTAAGTTAGGGTTCGGGTGCTCGGTTTCGCACAGCAGAAAGGGAAAACCAAGCGATGGGCGGCGTACCTTGTGGTACTCGTCGCCGGCGAAGGGCCCGAAGAAGACCTGGGCACCTGACGTAGGGCCGCAGCGACGGCCCCCCAGTCGTCGTGACGAGAGAGGGGGGAGGAAGCGCGTCTCCGCGCACGCTGGGGTGAAGAAAAGGCACGGTTGCAGGGTTGCAGCGTACTGATTCCTGGAGGGTACAGTATTTCTCGTCGACGACAATTCAGTCCTACGAATCGAGAAATTGTAATTATAGGACTTCTATTGTCCACTTCGTTAAAATGAATTTTAAAATATTGATTTTTTATTTTAGATGACATTTGACGTATTTTTTCACTTTGTTAATCAAAATATATATATTTTAGCCCTTCTGTGACCCTTCTGCCATTCTACTTTTGTATCGTTGATCGATCGTATCAATTCATCTTCCTCTTTCTCTCGGAGACCGCCGCCGCCCTAAGCACGGACGCCGCCATTCCTCCTTCCCCTCCTCCCGACGCCGTCGAGGAGGCCACAAAGCAATGTCGAGGAGGACGCAGACGCGCAGCGAGAGCAGCCCGTCAGCATCTGGCGAAAGTCTTTGGGCGTGTCAGCGGTAGTGGCCCAATGACAGCGTGGCTCGAGGGATGCCTTGCTGCTTGCAGCATGGAGCGATCGTGCTTTCGGCAAGACGGTCAACGCGCGCGCGGGTGAAAGGTCCTAATGGCTAGAGAGGGGGGTAAATAGCCTAATAAAAATTTCTACAACAACACTTAACAAACCGATTAGACAATTATAAGGCGAAGCAAGTATTACGCTAGCCTACTAAAATTACAAGCCACCTACCATAAATCTAGTTTATATGATTTCTATCTACACAAAAGTTATGTCACTGCACTAAGTTAGTGCGCCCTCAAAAGCTAACTAAAGAGCCACACTAACCAAACTAACAAACTCTCACAACTAGCTACACTAAAGAGCTTGACAACTAGTTTGCGGTATTGTAAAGAGAGAGAGCAAGATAGTTATACCACCGTGTAGAGGAGTGAACCAATCAATCACAATGATAAATACCAATGAAAACCAATCACCTCGGAATCAAATGATAAACACAATGATTTTTTTTTGAGGTTCACTTGCTTGCCGGCAAGCTACTCCTCGTTGTGGCGATTCACTCACTTGGAGGTTCACGTGCTAATTGGCATCACACGCCAAACCCTCGATAGGGTGCCGCACAACCAACACAAGATGAGGATCACAAAAGCCACGAGCAATCCACTAGAGTATATTTTGGCTCTCCACCGAGGAAAGGTCAAGAACTCTTCACAATCACCACGATCGGAGCCAGAGACAATCACCAATCTCCGCTCGACGATCCTCGCTGCTCCAAGCCGTCTAGGTGGCGGCAACCACCAAGAGTAACAAGCAAATCCCGCAGCGAAATACGAACACCAAGTGCTTCTAGATGTAAACACTCAAGCAATGCACTTGGATTCTCTCCTAATCTTACAAAGATGATGAATCAATGATGGAGATGAGTGGGAGGGCTTTGGCTAAGCTCACAAGGTTGCTATGTTATGTCAATACCAATGGCCAAGAGAGTGAGCTTGAGCCGACCATGGGGCTTAAATAGAAGCCCCCACGAAATAGAGCCGTTGTACCCCTTCACTGGGCACAACATGGGGTGACCGGACGCTCCGGTCATATCGACCGGACGCTGGACCTCAGCGTCCGGTCACGCGATGCGTGCCACGTGTCCCCTCTCTTCAAATGTCGATCGCCCGATCTCAACGGTCAAGTGACGACCGGACGCAGCAGCTCAAAGTGACCGGACGCTGAACCCCAGCGTCCGGTCGTTTCCAGTAAGCATCCAGAGACGACTTTTCACGACTGGACGCATCCGGTCATGCTCGACCGGACTCACCCAGCGTCCGGTCACTCGGCGACTCCCCTGTGTGCTGCCACATCAGCAGGACCGGACGCAACCCTCCAGCGTTCGGTCACTAAGTGACCCAGCGTCCGATCAGAGACCGACGCCAGCGTCTTCGTTGCTTCTACTGACCGGACGCGCCGGTCCAACCGAGGCCAGCGTCCGGTCACTTACAGTGACCTCTGTCTTTTCTGTCTAGGGCACCGGTGGCACCGTCGGACTGTTCGCCGGTGAAGTTTCTAACCCTTGCTCAAATGTGCCAACCACCAAGTGTATCACCTTGTGCACATGTGTTAGCATATTTTCACAAACATTTTCAAGGGTGTTAGCACTCCACTAGATCCTAAATGCATATGCAATGAGTTAGAGCATCTAGTGGCACTTTGATAACTGCATTCCGATACGAGTTTCACCCCTCTTAATAGTACGTCTATCGATCCTAAATATGATCACACTCACTAAGTGTCTCGATCACTAAAATAAAATGGCTCCTACCATTTATACCTTTGCCTTGAGCCTTTTGTTTTTCTCTTTCTTCTTTTCAAGTCCAAGCACTTGATCATCACCATGGCATCACAATCATCATGTCATGATCTTCATTTGCTTCACCACTTGGAATGTGCTACCTATCTCATGATCACTTGATAAACTAGGTTAGCACTTAGGGTTTTATTAATTCACCAAAACCAAACTAGAGCTTTCAGCGAGCCACGTGGGCAAGGCCCAGATCACAAGCCCCGTCGCCGATCAGGCCGTGGTCGCGATGGCGGGGGACAAGCCGGTCGACCAGAGCGACGCAGCGGCCATCCAGGTCTGTTTCTGTCTTTTTTGTTGTGTTTTGAGATCGATTAGTCCAATGTTGTTGACCTAGCTAGCTAGCACTCGAGTCTGATTCCAATCTTTGTAAATATATATAATTCTAACATGTCGGCTTCTGCTTGGTTCCTGACTTTGCTTTTTATTATAAGGTGATGATAGCATAGTAAAATTAGTTGGTGGAGTCTCCAAGAACACTTATAGACTATTTGTTTATGAAGTGTAAATCATTAAGCTCATAATACTCAGAAGGTCAAGCTGAGTTGCATGGCCGTATGTACATGCAGAACGCGAGGAAGAGGCTGTCAGCGGACAAGGGGGCAACACGGGAGGACGCAGAGAGGGTGGTGTCCACGGAGATACAGAACGAGCTGGACATGATGACCACGCCGGGCAGCGTGGCGGACGCGATGACTATAGTGGAGGCCTCTCCCGACGCCCCGTCCAGTGCTCTAGCCCTAGCCAGAACGTTGCTGCCCACTGTTCCTCTTCCGACACTAGAGTACAACCTTCCTATTCTTGAAGTGCAAAGGTATTGGCATTTATGCTTTTAGTTTTTGTTTTCACGATAGTAGTAGACATTATTTAAACTTGATATCACTTGTTTAGGTCCCAAGTAGATCATGTGGAAAATATGGAAATATTTGATTGGGAGAAAATATGGAAATATTTGATTGGGATAGCATACATATAGTGGAGACACATGATGACGAAGGTCGTATTGCACTTATGAGTGAGAATCAGATTTGTGAGCTTTTTGGCTTGACAGAGGAGGACACAACAAATATACCTACACAGGACTTTGATTGCCGAATGGATGAACATGGGCATTATAATGAGCTTGGGCAAGATAATGATGGTGCTGCCATTCCTACTAGTGATGCCATACCAGGTGAAATGGTTATTTCATATGATAAGAACAACCCATCCATGAATTTAGGAACAGTGTACCCAACAATGGAGGAGTTCAAGATGGTAGTGCGACAATTTGCCATCAATAAGGAGTTTGATTTAGGAACAGAGAAGTCATGTAAGACGAGATATAGGGCTTATTGTAAGTCTGGCGATGAAGATTGCCCTTGCCCTTGGAGGATAAATGGCACCAAACATAAAGGCCAAAGCATTGTGGAGGTGAATAAATTTCTTTTCCCTTTCATTAATTCTACTTTTCATGTAAATTAATATGAATCTCATTGATTTTTTGTTTTACAGGTAACCGTCTTAGTCGATAAACATACATGTGTGTCTAGCATGAGGCAGATAACTACAACTCCAACTCTGAAGTGGGTAGCTAGCAAGGCTAAGAGTATCCTTAGAGATGATCCAAATATTGGTGCTAAGGAATTACAAAAGAAGTTGCAGACAGATCACAAGTGTCAAATTGCATATGACGCTGTATGGCGGGGTAAAGAAAGAGCTCTTGATGAGGTTTATGGCAAATGGGAAGAGAGTTTTGAGCTGTTGTTTAGGTGGAAGGCTAAGGTAATGAAGCGGTGCCCCAGGAGTGTCGTCGAAATTGAGGTACTTGAGGTGGATGGTCAAGTATATTTCCACCATTTTTTCTATGCTCTTAAACCATGCATTGATGGTTTCTTGGAAGGTTGTAGGCCTCATTTGAGCATAGATGCTACAGCACTTAATGGAAGATGGAATGGTCACTTGGCCGCAGCTATAGCAGTTGATGGTCATACTTGGATGTATCCACTCACTTATGGCTTCATAGCTTCTGAAACAACTGACAACTGGACTTGGTTCATGGAGCAATTAAAGAAGGCAATAGGTGATCCTCCACTCCTTATTTGTTCTGATGCTTGCAAGGGCTTGGAGAATGCAGTGAAGAATGTATTCCCAAATGCAGAGCAAAGAGAATGCTTTTATCATCTTGTCAAAAAAATTTAGAAGAGATTTAGAGGGTTTGGACAGATATATCCAGCGGCAAGGGCTTACAGAGAAGACATATTCTATGACAATATAGCAAAAATGGTAAGTGAATCAACAGAAACAGTTGACCTTGAGCAGTTTGTGCATGACTATTACTCGATGAAT